TTCCCACTCTTTCTCTTACCCCATCACAATTCCCCAACCTTCACCTACCAACCTTTCCCAAATCATCCATACCAATCCAAAATTGTCAAGATGCCCTATCTTCCCCAACAACTCAAAACCCACAAGTATCCGCCCCCCTTTGCCCACCTCCATCTGTCTCTAACAAACCCTGCTGTCCCTCAGGTTACCCATTACCCCGTCTTTATCCCCAGCACAATCAACAAGTACCCCACCCCCAAATCTAGTCACAATCAACAAGTCCCCCATCCCCAAATCTAGTCACAATCAACAAGTCCCCACCCCCAAATCTAGTCACAATCCACAAGTCCCCCACCCCCAAATCTGGTCACAATCCACAAGTCCCCCACCCCCAAATCTGGTCACAATCAACAAGTCCCCCACCCCCAAATCTAGTCACAATCCACAAGTGTTGTTACCCAATTTACTTCCCCACAAGCTCACAATTGACATGTCCTACGATACAACACAGACTTGTGAAGTGCAACTGTTTGATAAAAAGGTCTTAAAGTCTTAAAACGAAATCTAAGGTATACTTTCGAGTTTCCCCAATGATATGTTCTTGACATTTTATAATGCAACTCGTCTATGTGTACAGCGTAAGAACAGAGCCCGCATTCTTGACAATCGTTTGGTAAAGGTTATAAATGGAATAAGCATTTCATGAAATCCTGGTAACAAAACGGATTTCCGTGTATGTGGGCCTGACAAACAGACGTACCTGCTGATAAGGAAAATATATGCTTACCTGGTGTATATTTATAGGTGTTACAAAAGGATAAATAATAGGTAAAAAGTGTATGTTATTCAGGTGTAGTGTTTCATCAATCAGTGAAAATGGTGTATAAGGTAACCTTTTGACCTTGAATAAAAATGCAATGGTATGACCTTGGGTAAGGTTATAAATCTATGAAAAGAGTTACTGTGTGTACAGTATTTTTAACTGCATTATCACGTATTAAGTAACAATTTTCTTGAATTGTATTTTTTGAAAGCAAATAAAGATATTTGATTCTACCTTGTACGATGATATTTAAAACTTGTTTGAAAGTTTAGCAAAACTGGACTGGATTCAATTTTCAGCAACCAGGTAGCTCAATCTGTTGGAACGTCTATAACGTTCAGAGGTCTAGGTTCGAATCCCAGTCTGGCAATGTATGTACTGTCCTTTCCTGTTACATTCCGCACTCAACTAAACATACCCATGGAACGTGTTGTAAGGTTTCATGTGTGTTTGGGGTCAAAGACTTTGTTGAAGGAGGCCAAAATGTAGCGGAACTTGACTGAGTGATTGCTGGCGACAAGGTAGCTCTTTTGGTTTGAGTGTCTGTGTAGAGTTCAGAGGTCATGAGTTCAAATCCTAATCTTACTGTGCATTTTCCTCTAATGTTACAATGATGCTTTACATGTGACTTACCCTTGTTTTTAAGTACTGTCTATAAGCTTGGCAAGGGTATACCCAAACCTTGGTTGTACATAGTGTTGTCTTGCGGGTTTAAGTCTTGGAAAAGGAAGGAAGGAGGTAGCAGAAATGTACTAGTTGGGTTAATTGCCAATGACCAGGTAGCTTAATTGGTTCGAGTGTCTGTCTCTAGTTGGAGGTCCAAGGTTCAAGTCCCAGTCTGTCTCTAGTTGAAGGTCCCAGGTTTGAGTCCCAGTCTGGCTGATTGAACGGCCCTGCACAGTGGCTGTACATTTTTCCTTTCCTGTTATACAAGGAATTTTGGTGTACACTGTATTTTGTTATGAAGTTATAATTCTGTACTGCAGTTATCAGTACTTGGACAAGTTACCCAGTACTCTGTAAGACAGGTCACAGATTTTTAGATGTGTTTCAATCATAATTTACTGATAAACACTGGCAGCTAGTTATATTATACACACTTCATGTTCAGTAGATTTTACATATAAGATCAGTCTTATTAACCTGTTACCGGTGTGTGAAAATCACATAATCACACCATATAAAGGGAGGTAATGCATACATGTATTAGGTAAAAACTTACTTTAAGCAGAAGGGTAAATTAAATGTTGACATTCATACAGAATGGAGCTCAACTGTAACACACATACATTTCCTGCCCATTTTTTGTGAAAAAAATATCTAGAGTCTACAGTATCTTTTTTTATTTCAACCAGACATAATCAATCCCCGTATATATATGTAGTATATGTTTTAGCCCTACATACAGATGTTTTATGGTTTGTATTTTACAGTTTTCCATTGTCACCCATGACTGTACCATCGGTCAGCAGATCCTCAATCTAAAATATGCCAGTGACCTTGCCCAGGGGTCAGGGCCTTGGCTAGGTACACGACAAAAGTTACTGTACGCCTTGATCCTGATTGGCTGTCCCTGGCTCAAGGAGAGGTCAGGTGATATCCTCCAGATGTTAAACCTGTCTCGATGGAAACAGAAAGTAAGTTGTTTGCAGATTTCAATGGTCAAGGACTATATATAAGAAATTATCCAGAATTGTGTAATACACTCTTATATACTTGTTTTACATTATCTATAGTATTATCTCATTTCCCCGTCAATTGTAGCTTCAGTCATATAAACCATTTTCTATAAATCACTTCATCAGCTCTATTATCGCATTTGGGGATCATGTCTAAAAATATAATCTGTCCCAAGATACAACTCACCATTGTAAGAAGACGTTAAACCATATTTTATCATCAGGCTCATGGTCCTTTTTATACAGTTTCACTTCTAAAGGAAAACCTAGTCAAATTGTTTATACATTGACATATATTACTAGAAATGTTTACATAAAACAGTATGATTTGTTTGACAGGTACAGCAGATCTTACACTGGACCGAGACTGGCCTCAAGGTGGCAGCACTGTTCAACTTCCTGGTGTTTTTACGCAAGGGCGTGTACAGGGCACTGGTGGAGAGGATTCTGGGTATCAGGGCAATGTTCCCTAACCAGCAAGGTGTCAGACAGGTATTACATTATCCATGTAAATGTAAGTTCCTTGTCTACCATTATAAGATGGTCTGTTCAAATACACTTTAATCCATAGTTATCTGTTTTTAAACAATTCTTGTTTAATATGACTGTTTCTCAAGTAGTTATGGGTGCCTGTAGGTTCTCCTTGGTCCTTAGGTCTGCCAAACTGGATACTCCGGGGTTACGCTCCCTTATGCTATCTGCAGAGAAGTGGAAGTGAGCGTAACCCCTGGAGTTTCGAGGATTTAAGTCTGCATTACCTATTTTGAGATATACAAATGTCATTAGAACAAGATAGCTGCTAGTTAGCCATCTTGGACCCTAACAGTTAGTTTGTCACTGCTTAGAAAGAAATGGAGGAATATTTCTCAATTTAGATAAGTAGATTTCTCGGTCCTTAATTTCACACGTTTAATTTAGACTGCTAGGCTTCTGGTGATGCTAGAACTTAAATGTGTGAAACTTATAACCTGCAGCTTTAAACCAGTTAGTTCTGAATTCATGGTTTCCTTGTAAGCAGTATATCTACCTATTACATGTAGTATTACTTATTAAGCAAGTCTGTAAATGTGTATTTCATGGGCATTCATACTAAATATCTACTTCAGGAGTGCTTATGAATACAATATATATTGATTTGCCTCATCATTTACTGGACTGTTTTAGAGTTCACTGTCACATGATTTCATAATACTGTAATACCATTGGTTGTTTCAGGTCAGCTTCGAATTTATGACCAGAGAGTTACTTTGGCATGGATTCTCGGTGAGTATATTTACGAGTATTGTAAGAACGCTTTATTAGATCGACTGGTATTATGTGAGGGGGCTACAGTTTTGCACTCATCCCTCAGTCAGTCTGTTAGTGCATCACTACACGTACAGGTCATATCTCATACTCTCTATCACATACCCCTTGCAAATTTTGTATCCAAGTAGCAGTTAAAATGGCAGTGTCACACACTGATATTTGTCCTCTTGTCACAGAGTTATGGCCCTTTGTTCACCCTGCATGACATTGTCCGGGGAATATACCCATTGGGATAACAGAGGCCCTAAGTGATAGAAAAATATGTTTTTATATATGAAAGCTTTTTATGTCATTTAAAGGATGAAAGTATTTGTCTTTTATATGATATTTTACGGAAGAATTACTTTGTTTCCTTGTAATGCTTTACCTACCTAAAAACCTGCAGATTTATGGAAAGTGCACTCAGTTAATATTTAGATAGGTGAAGAATAACCATAAATAAAATCTTTTATATATTTCTGAAGGATACGAATACATTATATCAGGATTATTTTTTTTCCAGGAATTTCTATTCTTTGTACTACCATTGATCAATTTCCAACGCCTGAAAAACTTTGTGATGAGACAAGTGTTACCTGTAAGTAAGACAGACGCTACAGACCGAACAAGTCGTAAGCTAGAGCAGTGTGCCGTGTGTGGAGATAAGCCGACAAACCCGCGGGAGATTGGATGTCCTCATGTGTTCTGCTACTTCTGTATAGAGGTAAGCTCTCCTCTCATCTGGGGGTACCACCTAAAAATTATAAATGATATATTGTCCAATTGTGATACATCTATCTATGAAGTTCTGGCCACAACAAGCATTATAATTATTTGACGTCTTGCTGCATGTGACCTTGACTTAGGGATTAAATACCTTGAAGCTGTAGGTGACACTTTGTTCAATAATAATACGTGTGTGTATCCATCTTTGACGTGCCATAGATAAAATATTGAGCCTCTCAGAAATTATGACCAGGACTAGTTTTTGGAAGTACTGACAGACGTAGTGTAATCCTATAGTTTGCCTGGTAAAGGCTAATAAATAACCTGTCTGATTGTCACTACAATAATCATTTCCTATACTTATGAAGTTTTGTGTCAGCTTAACCTCTTCTGAAGTTATGGCCCAGAGAAGCATTATAATACTTTGACTTAGGATTAAAGACCTGACATTGAAGGCAACACTTTGTGCAGTAATGGTAATACATCTTCATCAATCTTTGAAGTGATTTAAAAACCAATATTGATCCTACTGAAAGTATGGCCTGGTCAAGTATTTTGGACCAACTGACAAACATGTTGTGTCTCCTATAGTTTCCCTGGTAGGTGGGTAATAAATTACCAGACTGATCATCACTTTAGTAACGATTACCTGTTTGTTCCAGGGTAACTACAAAGCTGACCCAGGGTATTCCTGTCCACTGTGTGGAGCAAGTGTTGTAGATGCAAATAACATTAAACCCGCCAGAATGGTGATCCCTACGAGGTAGTGAAGGAAACCCACTCCCTCTGGACATAGCTTTATCACAGAATCTTCTTCAACCCAACACAGCCTACATCACAGAATCTTCTTCAACCCAACACAGCCTACATCACAGAATCTTCTACAGCCAAACACTACCTATATTTATCTATAGGGACTTGAGGAAAAGCAGCACCTCGCATCAATCACCAGACTTTCTCTCACATTTCAAATTGATTTTTTTTACTTTAAACAGTATTGAAGAAAGCTGATTCTGGACTTTTTGAAGAAGAGACAAAAGATCATACTAGAGTTCAAGAAGATTTTATGGATTAAGAACATCAAGTACATGGACCATTCGACAATACAGCCAGTAAAGAAACCACTAAGAGAGTACGCCTATGCATATCCTATTGGGCCAGTAGGTTGTTGTTGTTGGGCATCTGAGAAAAAAGTTTTAAAATCATCTTACATCTTCTTATGAAATATGAACACCTTCACCTAGGGTAATATTTGTTCTGTAGCTAAATGAGAGGGTGTAAAGTGTATTTAAATAATTAAAACAAATTCGAGGTCGTAGAGGTCAAATGTTTGAATTAATTTTCTAATGCTTTGTGATTGTGACACACAGGTATGTAGCTTGCTGGGGTAATTGGCTATATAAAAAAATTCAAATAAATTACCTTAATGTGTATTCAAGATTGCTGAGGTCGAATGTGTTCAGAATTATTTTGCCGTTATTTTGCCTAAATCATTTCATCACTGTCCATTGATAGGCCCTCTGGGCCTCTTGTTATATTATATTTGTGTGAAGTAAAATACAATAAGCAGAAGTTGAAATGATATGTTCAGAAAGTCACCACTGTCCTAGTAGGTTTCCTCTGGGTACTCTGGTTTTCTCCCATATTGAAACCCCTGAATGCTGCCATCAGGGCCAACAAGAATGATTAATATAAGTTGATAGAACTTGTTTCATTATTATTGTAAAACAAATTAACTTTAATTTACAGAAACTGTGTATAACATGAAACGGACGTTAAATTGTATTTTCTTTCATCGATTTCACCTTTACAGACGGTCACTGATATAAACTTAAGTTGTCTGTGGGATCGTTTAAACTTGAGCCAATTCAATCAGTTGATTTTTCGGACACAGGTTTTAGATTCCTGAACTAAAGCATTTGCTGTGGCTTCAACCAGATCCACTTGATCTCTTTGTAATGGGACCAATCAAAATTGTGGGAAAATCATCATTATCATCATCGTCATCACCAACGTCATTATCATCATCATCATCATCATCATCATCATATGTGCATAGTTACAAACATCATCATTATCATCATCATCATCATCATTATCATCATATCTGTTAATGTTGTGTTCAGTTTGTTATTGTGCCATATTGTTTGTTATTGCCTATGAATATTCATTTTGCTTTAGAAATTAAAGTCATCAAGTAACAGCAAGTGTTTATTATATATAAACATGTGTTCTGATTGTCATATCAAAACACTGCAGTTTATTTCATCAACAAATCAATGTAATTACAAAAAATGTCAACAAAAACAAATTCTTATGTCAGATCCTTTGTAACCTTGGGTATAAAACTTCAAAGGAATTGTGAAAATGACATTCAATATCAGATCATGATATAATAAATATTAAATAAAGTTACAGTCACTTCATGAACTTCTTTTCTTTAACAATTTTTCCAAGTTCTACAATGCACACAGTCAACAGTAACAATTTCAAAGACTGGCAATGAATCAACTGTTACTGATACCATTCCATGACGTGATACTATGACGTATCTAACAAATTATACCCCTGATATTCTGTCGCATGGTAGTTGAGTAGATTTTGCTTAATATCACTTCTCATTTGTCAGAAGAAAACATGATTTTAACAGGAATGTGACATAAAGAGAAAATGTGTTCCTTAGACCATTTTAGCTGTCGAAAACTGGAAGTGATCATATAAATAATTCCAATTGATATGGTTTTACGAAGAAGATTGTTTTGTAAAATTCTTTGTAACTGACACAGCTTTTTCTTTATTAACAGTGAAATTCTTGTCTTTTATTTGTATCTGCAGCTAAAACACCTGTTAAATTATGGTAGTGCTCCACTATCGTAAAAGATCAAATAGGCCTCGATCGACCTGTAGTTGTCGTCTGCTGCTAGTCTACATTCTGCTCGGAATTTCTTTGTTAAGTATGTCATGTTGGTATGGTTCTGACTGATTCTTCATCTTGAGTGACATGATCAAAGGAGCAAGATATAGATTTCATGAGAGGCCCAAATCCTTCAGACCAGCATATCTTCTTTGAGTAGTAATGTACTGTTTAATACAATACTTCGGATCTCAACACAAGTTCTCAGGAAATTTTTGTAACATCATGAGTCCTGTCAGCTTTTTTTCGTGGTTTCTTCTACAAACATTTGCATCTGAAACAAATTGGACAAACAATTTAAATAAGTCAGACCAGATCCAAACAACAGAGAAATTGCCTTAGCAATACCATTGCTGAGAATACTAATTGTTTACCGGGAAATTTTTCGCCTTTTTTGCTCTCCATGATGAGTCAAAGTTGTCATTAAAGCAAATCTACGTCAGTAACATAATATTCTTTTTTCTGTCACAAGACATGAATTCATATATTTCAAAATTGCATTTTAGCACATTTAGATTACAAATGATATCTCTCAAAATGTGCAGCATGAGAAATTAATGTTTAAATAAGGCCAGTTGTGCTGGATCGTTTATTCCAGATGATTGAGAAGTAGGTATGGTTCATTCAGGTACATGTATACTCTTGTAGACCACTTTACCAGTGATTAATATCAGTTATTCATGTGGAGACTCATTCACAACTGTATGTCTTTATCAATATTGAAATTGCATCCTCTCAATTGCAAATAAAATATCTGCAAAAACAAAGTGATTTACATTGGCCAGTGATGTAGAAGATCTGTTACCTTTATGAAGTCAGAGGTAACTGCCCTCAGTGGAATAATGTTTGGCTCGTCCAGTGTTGTCTCTCTTCCCTCAGCTTCCACCCACGGAAATCCCTGATTTCAAACAAAAGTCTAGATCAGTTATGCATGAACTGGGAAGATAGTGTTTTGAGAATTCTTTATATCATAACTTCCTATGAAGGAGATAAGAACTTTTTTAAATGAAAAATAGACACAAGACGAGACTTCCTCCTACCCTGTTGACCCTTTTATATATACAACATTGATATACACAAAGTGGAGGTGCCATCATACAACTGTTGTTACAGGGGAATCTCCCTATCTCAACCCCAGGGTGAGACCATGATTTCTACGTTAGTAGAGAGAGATATCAACACTTCCGGTCAGGGAAAGATATATCTGTCTTACTCAAAGATAAAGATGGAGGGTTCCCCGTGTAAAAACAATTGCATGACGTCGCATAAACAGTGCATTAACGTTACATCAACAATGTAATGACGTCGTGACAACAATAGCAGATCACGGAGGGTAACTCTGATATGCTGGAAATCATAAAATCAGCATTGGCACATTAATATGAAACTACCACTTGAATTTGATGTGGGAGAAAAATAATCTTTCGTCACCTTAGAGGTAAGACAGAAAAATATTTAGGTGGGGAAAGATTATATAAATCTTGCACCAGGAAGAGAGTGAAACACTTGTCCAGATTAAGAGAAAACTCTATCCCACCACAGGCACACCAGTGGGTACTACATCTTTCTAAATCCTTACTAGAAAAGGCATAAAAACGTTTTACAGGTCACTGGCTGACATTTTTAATGCGATATGTACCAGGCAACATCATTAGTGTCACAGCCAGCGACTAATATTGCCTATCAATTATGATGCAAAATTGCAGTAAAGTTTGTATACTGCACTGGTCTTGAAGTATGCTGTTAGTTTACTTTTTTCCTCACTTTCCAAATATATTCTTCAATTTATACTTTGGATTCTTGAAAGTCTAATATTCTTGCATTTGTAAGTCATGGTCTTTTTTTTACAAAATCTTGGGTAAAAGGTGGGAGTATAAGAGTCAGTCACATTTAGGTATGGGGGTATAGGAATCCTACCCTCTAGTGTTGGATGTCAACATCACCCATACAGGACTCACTACAGCTGTAGGTAGGCTATAGCTCCAAAGATACATATTACACATGTATATATGACACACCCTAATAATCATCAGTTTGTCTTTACTTACTCTCCTGTACCATCTGTTTGTCTTTACTTTACTCACCTGTACCATCAGTTTGTCTTTACTTACCCACCTGTACCATCTGTTTGTCTTAACTAAACCCACCTGTACCATCTGTTTGTCTTTACTTACTCACCTGTACCATCTGTTTGTCTTTACTTACTCACCTGTACCATCTGTTTGTCTTTACTTTACCCACCTGTACCATCTGTTTGTCTTTACTTTACCCACCTGTACCATCTGTTTGTCTTTATTTACCCACCTGTACCATCTGTTTGTCTTTACTTTACCCACCTGTACCATCTGTTTGTCTTTACTTACCCACCTGTACCATCTGTTTGTCTTTACTTTACCCACCTGTACCATCTGTTTGTCTTTACTTTACCCACCTGTACCATCTGTTTGTCTTTACTTTACCCACCTGTACCATCTGTTTGTCTTTACTTTACCCACCTGTACCATCTGTTTGTCTTTACTTTACCCACCTGTACCATCTGTTTGTCTTTACTTTACCCACCTGTACCATCTGTTTGTCTTTACTTTACCCACCTGTACCATCTGTTTGTCTTTACTTTACCCACCTGTACCATCTGTTTGTCTTTACTTTACCCACCTGTACCATCTGTTTGTCTTTACTTTACCCACCTGTACCATCTGTTTGTCTTTACTTTACCCACCTGTACCATCTGTTTGTCTTTACTTTACCCACCTGTACCATCTGTTTGTCTTTACTTTACCCACCTGTACCATCTGTTTGTCTTTACTTTACCCACCTGTACCATCTGTTTGTCTTTACTTTACCCACCTGTACCATCTGTTTGTCTTTACTTTACCCACCTGTACCATCTGTTTGTCTTTACTTTACCCACCTGTACCATCTGTTTGTCTTTACTTTACCCACCTGTACCATCTGTTTGTCTTTACTTTACCCACCTGTACCATCTGTTTGTCTTTACTTTACCCACCTGTACCATCTGTTTGTCTTTACTTTACCCACCTGTACCATCTGTTTGTCTTTACTTTACCCACCTGTACCATCTGTTTGTCTTTACTTTACCCACCTGTACCATCTGTTTGTCTTTACTTTACCCACCTGTACCATCTGTTTGTCTTTACTTTACCCACCTGTACCATCTGTTTGTCTTTACTTTACCCACCTGTACCATCTGTTTGTCTTTACTTACCCACCTGTACCATCTGTTTGTCTTTACTTTACCCACCTGTACCATCTGTTTGTCTTTACTTTACCCACCTGTACCATCTGTTTGTCTTTACTTTACCCACCTGTACCATCTGTTTGTCTTTACTTTACCCACCTGTACCATCTGTTTGTCTTTACTTTACCCACCTGTACCATCTGTTTGTCTTTACTTTACCCACCTGTACCATCTGTTTGTCTTTACTTTACCCACCTGTACCATCTGTTTGTCTTTACTTTACCCACCTGTACCATCTGTTTGTCTTTACTTTACCCACCTGTACCATCTGTTTGTCTTTACTTTACCCACCTGTACCATCTGTTTGTCTTTACTTTACCCACCTGTACCATCTGTTTGTCTTTACTTTACCCACCTGTACCATCTGTTTGTCTTTACTTTACCCACCTGTACCATCTGTTTGTCTTTACTTTACCCACCTGTACCATCTGTTTGTCTTTACTTTACCCACCTGTACCATCTGTTTGTCTTTACTTTACCCACCTGTACCATCTGTTTGTCTTTACTTTACCCACCTGTACCATCTGTTTGTCTTTACTTTACCCACCTGTACCATCTGTTTGTCTTTACTTTACCCACCTGTACCATCTGTTTGTCTTTACTTTACCCACCTGTACCATCTGTTTGTCTTTACTTTACCCACCTGTACCATCTGTTTGTCTTTACTTTACCCACCTGTACCATCTGTTTGTCTTTACTTTACCCACCTGTACCATCTGTTTGTCTTTACTTTACCCACCTGTACCATCTGTTTGTCTTTACTTTACCCACCTGTACCATCTGTTTGTCTTTACTTTACCCACCTGTACCATCTGTTTGTCTTTACTTTACCCACCTGTACCATCTGTTTGTCTTTACTTTACCCACCTGTACCATCTGTTTGTCTTTACTTTACCCACCTGTACCATCTGTTTGTCTTTACTTTACCCACCTGTACCATCTGTTTGTCTTTACTTTACCCACCTGTACCATCTGTTTGTCTTTACTTTACCCACCTGTACCATCTGTTTGTCTTTACTTTACCCACCTGTACCATCTGTTTGTCTTTACTTTACCCACCTGTACCATCTGTTTGTCTTTACTTTACCCACCTGTACCATCTGTTTGTCTTTACTTTACCCACCTGTACCATCTGTTTGTCTTTACTTTACCCACCTGTACCATCTGTTTGTCTTTACTTTACCCACCTGTACCATCTGTTTGTCTTTACTTTACCCACCTGTACCATCTGTTTGTCTTTACTTTACCCACCTGTACCATCTGTTTGTCTTTACTTTACCCACCTGTACCATCTGTTTGTCTTTACTTTACCCACCTGTACCATCAGTTTGTCTTTACTTTACCCACCTGTACCATCTGTTTGTCTTTACTTTACCCACCTGTACCATCTGTTTGTCTTTACTTTACCCACCTGTACCATCTGTTTGTCTTTACTTTACCCACCTGTACCATCTGTTTGTCTTTACTTTACCCACCTGTACCATCTGTTTGTCTTTACTTTACCCACCTGTACCATCTGTTTGTCTTTACTTTACCCACCTGTACCATCTGTTTGTCTTTACTTTACCCACCTGTACCATCTGTTTGTCTTTACTTTACCCACCTGTACCATCTGTTTGTCTTTACTTTACCCACCTGTACCATCTGTTTGTCTTTACTTTACCCACCTGTACCATCAGTTCGTCTTTACTTTACCCACCTGTACCATCTGTTTGTCTTTACTTTACTCACCTGTACCATCTGTTTGTCTTTACTTTACCCACCTGTACCATCAGTTTGTCTTTACTTAACCCACCTGTACCATCTGTTAGTCTTTACTTAACCCACCTGTACCATCTGCTTGTCTTTACTTTACTCACCTGTACCATCTGTTTGTCTTTACTTACCCACCTGTACCATCTGTTTGTCTTTACGTTACCCACCTGTACCATCTGTTAGTCTTTACTTTCCCCACCTGTACCATCTGTTAGTCTTTACTTACCCCACCTGTACCATCTGTTTGTCTTTACGTTACCCACCTGTACCATCTGTTTGTCTTTACTTTACACACCTGTACCATCTGTTTGTCTTTACTTTACTCACCTGTACCATCTGTTTTTCTTTACTTACCCACCTGTACCATCTGTTTGTCTGTCTTTACTTTACCCACCTGTACCATCTGTTTGGCTTTACTTACTCTCCTGTACCATCTGTTAGTCTTTACTTTACCCACCTGTACCATCTGTTTGTCTTTACTTACTCACCTGTACCATCTGTTTGTCGTTGATGCTATCAGCTGCTGATTCGGTTGTTTCTACTTGGATTGCCCATGTACAGTCTGGAAGTAGAAACTTGTATCATACAATTCCAGTTCAATGAGAAAAATTTCTTCTTTTTTCCCCCAAGAAAATGTTGCTTCACACTTAATTAATTTTCTTGGTGGCAACTTCAATTACTTCTGTAAATTTCTTTTCATTGTAATTTGAAAAGGAATATTTCTCACCAAGATTATTGCAAAAATTGCTTGACATATGCTCGATAACAGGGGAACAAAATTAATTCATTTTTGGTTAATGACCATTAGAATGTTATTTTTCTGTTTTCTTTTAATCTGAAACTGTTCAAAAGTGATGCACACATGTCAACCCGTTTCTCTGGTAAAAAAATTAACAAGAAATTCAAAGAGAAAACCTCAGTTATTACCAGCCGAAGAAACACACACAAAGTCAATGCCATTTCATCCAAATTCAAGAGTTGTGAGTTATAACAGGTCACAATTCATGAATAATTTCCTCTTTGTAAATTTGCGTCTTGTTATACTGCAGTCAACATACCTTAAACATTTTTATTAGGCAAATGAACAACCTCCTCCTGTCACAAACTGATATTCCTAACAATAATTCACCACTACACTACATTTTTATCGATTCCTAATCTACCTGTACCTTTCGGAAGTGGCTGTAGAAGGGCATCACTGACGTTCAGCTTGAGGAGGAAGGCACGCAGAGACTGCTCCAGCTGGTACAGGTAGCGGTCATCCCTGTGAATGATAAAATACAGGTAATGGTCGTCTACGGGGATGACAAGAATACAGGTAATGATGATAATCGTGAGACAGAATCTGGTACCGGTCACAAAGTATAGTCATCAATTGCATTCAAGTCAAAATCAGTGGAGTGGTTATCATAAAATACCAATAACTTTACTGAGTAACTTCATATAATAGTATATGAACTCTCAAATGCTTCAATATTGCCCAGCATCTTTCCTTAACTGTCTATGGCATTACCGTATATAGGTTACTGTAAGTCACATTTGTAAAAAAAAAAAAAAGAATCTGCTTTGATCGGATATGTAGATCTAGACTGGTCAGCACTTCTACCCTTTCATGTTGTCCGAGTGTCTCCCTATCTCTATCACAAATCTCTCCAGAGGTCGGTGGTCAGGTCCCAAGATGACCATGGCAATTTTCTCCACCTGGTTGAGCTGGTTCAGTCGATGAACACTGTCCACTATATTGACCACATACTTGCAGACATCAGGATGGAGACACATCTAGAGGGTTAGAGTAACAGGTGAATTATTTTGGGCTAGATGTGTACAAAACCGTCTGTAGCTACACGAGTAAATATTCCATCTCTTAGTACTACAGGTACTATGTAACATTAAGACTGAGTTTTGTATTCATTTATGGGGTTTAAATGGAATCCCAACAAGAGGACAAACTATTACAAGCATCAAATTTTGTTTGGACTGGCGAGCTACATGTACATGTATTTAACAATGTTCTTGCCTACCAATAACATTATTTTATTTACCTGTACAGGGACATTGTACTTTTTCCTTTTTTCAAATACACCACGTGGATACAGGTCCCGTAGGTAGAGGATGGAGTGGATCGACACCTCAAGGAACTCGCACAAAACGTCAGCACCAACTGAAATACACAACTTCATGAGGAATGACAAATATACAAGTGTCAAATAAATTTGAAAATATTTTTTTCCAATATGTAACATTTCCTTCTTTTTTACTGTAGAGGAATCACACTGACAGTATACAATGTGTGCTTAGTAGACAGGCACATTAACTTGTAACATAATGTGGGCTTCATTCAATGATGACGACAGAAATTAATAAGTTCTCATTGAGGAGTAGAGGAAGTGATTTCAAACCAACTTTCCAGTTAAAATTGAAGGCTAAACATTGTTGATAAACAACATACAGCATGTTTCATTTTGCTATAGGTAATTAGTTTACCTGGCAATTTTCAACTTGAGGGCTAAGAAAGTGATTTTCCTATATGCTATTAAATTAGACATAAAAATCTCTTAATAACAGCAGGAGCCTAAATCATCTTGTCCTTGGTCCAAGCATAGGGGCAGGCAACTGTTCTAATCATATTGATTTTGTTTAACTTTCAATCGCTGGAAACATATATCCTAATATTGACGCTGTGGTCCAAGGCAACGTCCTGGGTCCCACGTCTACATCTACAGCTTTCACTGTTCTGTCAATCAGTTGACCATTACACAGTGTTGCCGGCGTTTCGTAACACTATAAAAGATATTTGATTGAGAAAGAGAAAGGCAGAAAAAGTGTATGTGTATATAATGTGTGTTTGTGGCTACCGTAGCAGCCCCGAGGACAAGCCTAAACTAGCACAGCTCTCACCATTGGCCGAATGAACAACAAGCCTGCTTGAAAGATACCAAGTAAGGGGTCTCAGCCATAGCAGCTGGAAGAGAATTCCAGTGATGGATAATTGATGGGAAGAAGCTATGCCTAAAAGTGTTTTAGAGGAAGAGAGACAGCAATATTTAATAGAGTGATTACGTCGGGTGGAAAATGTCGAGGCTTTCAGGTAGTCCTGGGCTCGGATGTCTAATTTATCATGGGCAATTTTGTACATGGTTGTAAGATGACAGAGGCAAGGTCCTCATGAGTAAACAACTAGTACTACATGTTGAGGATGTTTGCCTTATCTGCTGCGTTAGAGTGTAGTTTCCTATCTTCCTTCAGAGGGGGCTGTGCCTGAGTCAGCTTTCCTTAGAGCCTTTATATACCGCCAAAAAGCTTTCTATTTGGGCTGCGTATTATCTTCTTTATCTATCACGATTATTTTTTCAACATTTTTCCATTAGGATTGTCAGATTATTTTCTGCGTATTTGATCTTGTTTCTTTTCATTAGTTCCGGGTTGTTTTGCCCTAAATCCTGTTCGCGCTAGGTTGTTTTGGTCTGAAACAAAAATTGAGGGCAAAACATTGTTTGGTATTTTCTTTTCATTTTTAGTAGATTTAATTTGAGTCACAAATTAAGTCTTTTTAGTCCTCCATATCATTAAAATCAATTTTATAAAGAAAATATGTTTGTGTTGTTTTTAAGCGAGTGTGACAAACGGCAGTTGCATATTTTTCTACATGAAATAAACCCAACACCAATATAGAAAGTTATCAAACTAGTCGATATATTAAAATATTAATTACAGTATATTAGCATATAAGTTTAAACAAAATAAGATTAGGGCGAAACAACCAACAACCCTTAGCTCAAACGGGTATTTAGGGTGAAACAACCCTTAACACAAACAGGATTAAGGGCGAAACAACCTGTCCTCAGGTTTTCGTGTTTGTTGTTGTCAATTTGTTTCTTTCTTAGTCTGTTTGTCTTCCTGATTTCTCTTCTGATCTTCCCATCAATCCATGGCTTGCTGGTCTTAGATCCGCTAATCATGAGCATCTTACTAATGGGATGTGCAGTTGTCGCCTACAAAGTTTAGTCCACAGTAGTTCAACGTTACAATGTATGTTTATGTGTTCTGTGACCCATTTCAGTGTATGTATTTTCGACATTTGTAACGAAATCCTGTGATAAGTTCAAGTTGACCAACTTACCAATTCATTAAATATCTAGGCCCATGGCATTTTAACCCCTTTCAGTAAATGCTAGTTTGTTGTTTAGTTATATTAATTAAGCTAACCCATCGAATGTATTTGTATGACAATCACAATTCATGATATGACGTTAGTTAGCCCGAGTTTCCTCTGGCCCTGACACCAGACCTAGACATACAGTAGACCTACCAGACATCTACAGGATCTGTCAAAATGTCTAAGTCTGGTGTCAGGGCCAGTGAAAACTCGGGCTAGACGTTAGTGTAATAACTTGGGACGAGACGTCGTTACATGTTGTGTCTGACTGACAAATTACCAGTAGCTGTCTCCAAACAAAACTGTGTGTTTCGCTGATCAACAGACATCACAAACGTCAATCGTTCTTCATCGTATGTCAACACTGCTGAAACTTCGCGGTGTATTTAACCGGAAGTTTGTGTAATCAAAGAAGCCGGATAAGATAGAAATTACGGACGGCATTCCAGATCATATGATAAGTTTGATAGTTGTTAGTTTAACAGTTAGTTTGACTTTTTGATATTGTAGAGACGCAAATACCACATACTATATAGATCTCTGAATAAATTGAGAAAAAAATTGAATGAAATAATTATGGTGTTTTTTTTCATCTGAGCAAATACCTATTAAAATAGATGAATAAGATCATTATTATCATCAACAATGTCACCATCATCATCTCACACTATATACTTCCTTTTTATTGTTTTCAAAATAATAACAATATACTGTATTCAATCTAATAACTTGCCCGCCCCTTGTAAGCGTCATACATTTTAAAAATTCACTGAACTTTAAAATACTTTTTAACTTGTTATGACTATATTTTTTCTTTAATTTTGAAAGGTTTTTCTGCTGTCATTCTATTTTTCAAAGTTGATAATTGACTAAGGTTGGGTCATCGTCTGCATATCTCTTCAGAAGCATGTGAATGAAATTGATGTTCATCATCATCTCAGTCTTAGGGGCATCATACGTGGATGAAAATGAGGATCATCGTTATTGTACGTCTTTGTGAACATTCAAATGGATTAAGTTTAGGATATTTTATCATCTATCTCTTCAAAAGCATATGGGTGCAATGGAGGGATCGATGAACCATTTTGATCATCATCATCATTACTACATCATCGTCGTCATCATCATCATCAGCACTGCATCATCATCATTATAGGAGTCCATATATATGCATGTATTCATAACAATTGGCTCATTATCACAAGCATGTAGATATAACATCAACTCTGGATCGACACAAATTCCCTGAGATTTCCTCTGCCCTTCATGATCAGCCATTTGAAAACAAAAGCCACTGTATACACTGCATTTTAAACTTATTTTTGCAGCGAATTGAGTAAATATGCATCAATCTGCAATGAAAATGCTGTACCTATAATGATATCTGACCTGTGATATCAGCGTATCTCAACTGATGTTCACACATCCAACTCCTGGAATGTTATACATGTACAAGCATTCTTAATCACACTGTTAGGTGGAAATAGTAGCATAATACTCCTTACGTCAACTTCATAGTCATCACTATCATCATCATCTATTATTATCAGTCATCTTATTTATCATTATCATCTTGTTTGCGGTCATCATTATCTTTTTATCATCTCTTCATTGTCATTTGATTTATCATCATTGTTGTCTGGTTTGTGACCATCATCATCATATTTGTCATCTTATTGTCATTATTGTAAGTTTTCAGAATGTGGTCATCAGATTATCCAGTAGTCATTATTTAATCGTCAGCTGGCACTGATAAGTAAGGCCAAAAAATAATTGTTTCCGGTTTCCCTACCGACCCTAGATTTTTGTGCCTACCATGATGTTTTTATTTAGTGATAAGCACTGTTAACCCTTTCACTCCTATGTAACTTTAGTAGACTCTACCCTGCATTGATATGGATGAGTCCATTATGGTCTACAGTGGTGAAAGGGTTAAAGTCAGAAATCCTGCTCTATATAAGCATAGTAAAAAATATTATCATGACAAAACAAATTTGCCTACCAACTGACCCTAATTTTGTATAAGCAGAAACAGGAAACAAATTTTTGTTTTGGCCTAAGCCCTGTTTGGTTGTATTACCACATTAGACATCCACCAATGAAAACTGATCAGTAGAAAACACAATAAGCACTAAAACACCAGTTTCTTATATCAATCATTTTTATTGTTGATAACAGTTTAACTAAAGTATGATTTTCTGAGAATAACAATTGTATATTATACGTAATAAAATTTTGTAAAATATCAAAAAACAGGTAAGTAGGAATCACTATATAATTTATTAATAGAAATTATTAAATATTATATAAATATTTGAAATTATTTCATTACCCTTTTTACCAAATACAAAATTTGTGAAATGTGAAAAACAACATGAAAATTGTCCTGATCAATCACGTTTGATAAAGTATATTGCTAAATGATATAAAAAAATATATGAAATGATGAAGACCGTTTCAAAGGAAACTTTAAATGCTTTAAAAAATAATCAATATTACATTTGGGACAGATGTGTAAATGATACTATTATTAGGGGAGTACCATAAAAACTGGTATTAATTCAGACCAAAAATCAGTGCACTTTATAAGCCAACGATCAAACATAAACATGTATTGCAATCAGACAAAGACCCAACCACTTTACAAGCCAAACACACAACCCATATTTTACAAGCCAAATTCAAACCCCACATTGCGAGCCAAAGATCCAACCCACATTTATAAGCCAAACACCCAACCCACATTACAAACCAAAGACAAAACCCACATTTTACAAGCCAACTTCAAACCCATATTACAAGCCAGAGACCCAACCCATATAACAAGCCAAACACCTGACCCTTTTACAAGCCAAAGACCCAACCCATGTTACAAGCCAAATACCCAACCCATGTTACTTACAAGCCAAAAAACCCAACCCATATTACAAGCCAAATACCCTACCCACAATACAAGCCAAATACCCAACCCACATCACAAGCCAAATACCCAACCCATGTTACAAGCCAAAGACCCAACCCATATTACAAGCCAAATACCCAACCCATGTTACAAGCCAAAAGACCCAATCTATATTACAAGCCAAAGACCCTACCCACAATACAAGCCAAATACCCAACCCACATCACAAGCCAAAGACCCAACCCATATTACAAGCCAAATACCCAACCCACATCACAAGCCAAATACCCAACCCAAATTACAAGCCAAAGACCCAACCCATATTACAAGCCAAATACCCAACCCACATCACAAGCCAAAGACCCAACCCGAATTACAAGCCAAAGAATCCACCCATATTACAAGCCAACACCCAACCCACATTAAAAGCCAAACACCTAACCTACATGACAAGCCAAATACCCAAACCCCTTTACAAGCCAAAAATACCTAATACAAATTACAAGCCAAATATCCATCCCACCTAACAAGCCAAAACGCCATCCCATGTAATTTAACAAAGCCCAGTGTCTCTTGCACGGTTCATCCCTCCCTTTCTCACCACTCAGGCGGTCCACAACAGAGGTTCTGTCCCTACTCTTAATTGGTTATCTCCTCATATCATCAGTATTCCTCCCCTTCCATCAAATCCCAAACCTCAAGTTCCACGTCCCTTCTAGATCTACCAGGACTTGGGCATTCTTGAGAACTCAAATCAATAAAGTGTTGTCATCAGACAGGTTACAAACTCAACCTTATCTGACAACGCTACCTCAAAAGATTTACTCTACCACCGGCCCTGACATTTCCAGATAGGCATGGCCCCTTCAGTCCGATCAGATCAAGTTAGTTCAGTCCACATCAAACAATCAGAGATCCCCAAGAGGTTTACGGTTCCAAACATGCGTGTCCCTTCCCTCTCACACTAGCTTGGGAATCACCAGTCTGACATAACTGCTCTTTGCAATACACCAATAAATATAAAATCGCCCGTTACTAATTTTGAATCTCCCAATGATCACAAAACAAAAAACAAAAACAAAAAAAACTACAATTTCAAATCTCCCATTAAATTAAGAAATTTATAAGTTTTCGAATCTCCCTAATAAATATAAACTTAAATAATTTGAAATCTCCCAATTATCTCCATATAACCACAAATAAAATAATTTAGAAATCTCCCAAAAATTTAAAAATTTATGAATTTTGAAATCTCCCTTTAATTACAAACTTTAATAATTTAAAAATCTCCCCAGTAAATATAAACTTAAATAATTTTGAAATCATTCTATAATTACAGACTTTATTAATTTTGAAATCTCCCTTTAATAATAGACTTGAACAATTTTGAAATCTCCCTTTAATTACAAACTTTAACAATTTTGAAATCTCCCCAGTAAATATTAACCTTAATCGATTTTGAAATCTACCTATAATTACAGACTTTAACAATTTTGAAATCTCCCCAGTAAATATAAACTTTATTTATTTTTAATATCTCCCTATAAGTTCAAACTTTTATAATTTTGAAATCTCCCAAGTAAATATAAAGTTTAATCATTTGAAATCTCCCAAATAAAGATCAGCTTTAATAGTAATGAAATTTCCCTGAAATAACAAACTTTATTTATTTTGAAATCTCCCCAAAACTTTCAAACTTTGGAAGTTCCTAAATAATCATAAACTACCTGAACTAATTATAAAATCTCCCAAAATACTTTCTAACTTGAATCTTTTTGAAATTTAAATAATTATAAACCTTTTTGAAATTTAAGTAATTATAAACTATACAAATCTTGAAATCTCCCTAATAATCACAACCTTAATTTTTGAAAATCTCCCAGATAATTACAATCTTTACATTTTTGGAATCTACCAAATAGAAACTTAGAGTGCAAGTGGCATCAAAGTTTCCTTTGAGACTAGTAGGATCATCAGGAAAAAGTTTTGAAGCAGGTGTAAATGACAAGTTGTTATACAATTGTAATGACAATGAAAAGATCCTGAACAATAAGCATTGTTGTTTCCAGACATTAAAACTTCTCATCAGATGTAAAGTGATATAAAAATAAAAAAATAATGTATTATAAAAATGACTTGGTATTTAAAATGTATCAATTAACCAAACACAGCATATTGCACAATAGTGGCATTGCAAAAGCAATATTAAATTACTAAATGTTATTTGCACCTTTTTGTGCCATCCTGCACACAGTAGCACAGATTGATAATGCATGGTACACAGCAGCACAGCTTGGTGCGGCGCTGTACACAGCAGCACAGTTTGGTACGGCGCTGTACACAGCAGCACATTTTGGTGCGGCGCTGTACACAGCAGCAGTTTGGTGCGGTGCTGTACACAGCAGCAGTTTGGTGCGGCGCTGTACACAGCAGTGCAGTTTGGTGCGGCGCTGTACACTGCAGCACAGTTTGGTGCAAGGTGTTCACTGCAGCACAGTTTGGTGCGGCACTGTTCAATGCAGCACAGTTTGGTGCGGCGCTGTACACTGCAGCACAGTTTGGTGCGGCGCTGTACACAGCAGCACAGTTTGGTGTGGAGCTGTACACTGTAACAGTTTGATTCAGCGCTGTTCACAGTAACATATTTTAGTGATACTCTAGCCATGAATGAACTTGTGTTTCTCTGTACACATGAACACAATGGTATACATATTTTGATTTACAATTTTACATATTTTGGCTTTACTTGCTGCACACTACTGTGCGGCCTGTTCCTCATCAAGCTTCTACTTGTTATGTAGTGCACAGCACATATTTCTTAGCTAAAGCAATATAAATTGAGCTATCTGATATAACAGAGATCTATGGAAGTTACAAAGCACTTCGACATGAATCACATAAATAAATACAATAAAACAATGTGACTGTAACATTACAGCCATAAAGACACTCTGTTATCTCAATGCATATAAATATCATCTCGTAGATATTTGGTGAGTGTAATAACTCAAGTGTAAGCATTGATTTTACAAAGGTAAACACCAAAATCATTGATCCAAACTCATGAGACATGTACAGATAAGGCCAATAGGGACAAGTTAACTAAAACAAACACTACCCAGAATGAGGAGGTAATAAATCTGGGTAACTTTCCACAGAAGGAGACTTATGTAAATAAGAATTTTACAGGATTTCTGGATGAACTTTAGCAAACCAGAATTATTTAAATTGTTATGAAATTTCAAAAGGAAGAATTAAATGTTGTTTAGCATCTAGAAAGTAAACTTGTTTCAATACACATTTAGGACAATTTCTTAAATAAAACTTATCTTTTTAACCTGCCTGTATCTAAAATGAACAATTTACATAGGATCAATTTTTACAAAAATATTAAATATGTCTTTCTAAATGTACCAATGCCCTTTTTAAAACATTTCAAATATTGTTCATTAATACAATAAGGTGAGGTCTCCTTTGTGGTCAGTACAGGTTTGTGATTTAGTAGCCGTGCCTTGGAGCACCCCGGCGAGCCTTGCTTGTGCCAGGACGTCCCCCTCCAAGGGATGGTAATTTCTGTCCGCCAGCTCGGGAATCGCACCTTGTTGGGGTTTGCAGCCTGCTCTCATGAGAACGAGGAGACATCTTTGTCTGAGCCCCAATGTGGGGTAGCTGAAAACAAAGTTTACCTCAAATTTAGAATTTTATATTTCAGATATCAAAAAAAATTTAGGATGTCTAAATAACAAATTCCTGAAAAACACATTAACAATAAGACATAATCTGAGCATGTCAAAAGATGTTTAGATGATTAATGAACCTACATCAATGTAGCGGCTCTCCGGCTGTGGCAGGTGATTGTCCATGATTTCGAAAGTGAGAAGTGTTCTTGGCTTCATCTTGATCTTTTGCATATGGCGAGTAGCAATTCCCTGGCTATCCTAGATTTATCAAAGTGAATGAGTATTAGAATTAACACAGATCAAGATGCATGGCTCATTTTTACTTTTCTTACAGTGCTGGATTTAATTAACTCTATAGATTAGATTGTAAGGTCTAGTACTTCCAATCTTGAATTCAGTTTTTATTTCTTCTAGGTATTCTAGAACTAAAAAAAATCATTCAGATGTAGCATGTATAAGCAGCTTTTATAATACTTAAAGTAGTTAATTGGTAACAAAGGCCATTCAGTTATCCAGCCAATACCTGACAGAGCATTTACTTACCTTTACATCAGGAAATAGGTTTGTGGGTTTTCCCATTGCCTTGTCCAAGTAGGAGAGCTCTTCCTTGATTGGCTTGCGCTCTGCATCCCTGACAGTTAGGCCGGGAACATATCCTTTGACTGGATATCAAGATATTAAGATTAAGATACATGTCATTTATCATTTTGGATAAAAACAAGAGGCCCAGAGGGCCTGTATCGCTCACCTGAATATATGTTTTAAATAATTGGTATGAAGTAAAGATATAGCACTCCATAGGTGCTGTAAGTACATATGAAATTTCAGAAAGATCCATCAAGTACTTGAGATATAGCAAGAACAAACTTCAAACAGAGCCCCACCCCTATGCCCTAAGTGGGTCATACCCGCCATTTATACAAAATTGAGTCCCCTTGACCCAAGGATGCTCCAGACTAAATTAGGATACAACCCCTTAATCCCTATGGTAGAATTAAGATTTAAAAGTCTTCCCCTATTGTTCCATATTTGGTCTGAAGCATCCTTGGGTGAAGGGGAACCAATTTTGTATAAACCATGGGTCTGGCCCCCCAGGGGCCTGAAGGGAGGGGCCCAATAGGGGAAACATAGCAAATTATTCTTTAAAATCCTTCCTTATATTACCCCTTTTGGGCCCCGGCCCTCAGCCCCCAGGGGGGCCAGACCCACAATTTATACAAAATTTGTTCCCCTTCCTCCAAGGATGCTTCTGACCAAATTTGGTTAAAATCTGTTCAGTCGTTCATGACAAGTAGCGTTTTATAGGAAAAGTTGACGGACGGACGACGGACGCTGCGGTATGGCATAAGCTCACCATGGTCCTTTGGACCAGGTAAGCTAAAAATCACAGATCTAAGAATATGAAAGAATTATAAATAAACTAAATAATTTGGCATTCATGAATACCTGAAATGCCATGACTGCAGATATCAAAAAATTATCATTTATTAAATCATTATGCCTAATTGCCCATTTATTAATCAAAAGGTTTTCGTTTCTGCAGAACAACCAGAGGCACTATATATATAATTTTGCTACTGTACGTTGAAACTTAATTAGTTCATTCTAGGAAGAGGGTGTAAAAAAAAGTTTCCTCTTTACTCACATTTGCTGTTACCCCTGTTGGTACCCTGTATTTTTGGCAGCATTCCTGCACTCTTGGCCTCTGCTTGAGGGAACTGTTTCTTGGTTTCTTGCTTAGTGGGGAACATAATTCTCCTCCCTGCTTCTGGGGGAGGGTAGGACCTCAGGCTGGTCCTAGGCTCTTGGAGAGGGGGCAGTTGAGATCTACGATTTCCTTCATTAATTTTACCATCAGACACCGACTCATGGTCGGTGCGGTAATATCCACGGTTCATAACCATCTTGATAGATCTAAAACAACCAGAAGAGCACTTTATGCAATTTTGCTACATTGAGACAAATTACGAAAGATTGACCACACATAATCAATACAGTAATATACATTGAAAAATATTTTTATCCCAGTGTCATTCTGCTTTGACAGGTTTCCCTGTGCTTTTAGTGCATATGGAATTAACTTTTAATAGCTGTGGAGAAGAAAAAATTGATGTAAGTATAAGTAAAGAAATCCGATAAATTAATTGTTTTGCATTCTAAACTTTACTAAACAAGACATCCTTTACTAAACAAAAAATATCAACACAAAACAACAGTACATCATTCCCTCCACCAGAATATGTTTGTAAAGCACAACCATATCACCCTTTGAGTTTGACGGAATCAGAGTTAACGTGAGAGCTAGGAAAGCTTACATGTTTGTAATTTACCGGACCACAACACAACACCGCAAAAACTTGATTGGAATTAATAGACGAACATGCATTCCGGAAAGGATGTTATAGTATTATCATCTTGATTGCATGATGTCGTCTTTTGTTATTGTTAGGTTGTCATTGTTTAGACATTTGGTATACACAGATTTTTCATGTGCAAGCCCGGGCTTTTTTTTCTATGGACACTACGCCCCTGACCACAGTAAGACATACGTCTGAAACATGTGTTGCTGCTGCTTAGGCATTCACAAATGAAGTTTGGTAACTTGATTTTAGATGGAGATTATTGCATATTCTAATAAACAGGAAAATGAAATCACTAAATATTATCCGCAAATGACGACATGCTAGTGCACTCAATGTGACATATATTATTTTTTCTTACAACGTGGGGGTAAAAACATATTAAAAATATCCAATTATGTTAACAAATACAGATGTAATTTACACGAAATATTGTTAATCGGGTTATTTTCTAGCAACATCAGCACTTCCGCCCAGCTGTTCTCCAAGATGGCGGGAATGTGAACAATACCTTTATGGTTTCTGTGTTATTCTGTAAATATACAAAGGTTTTTACATCTAATCCTATTATAGAACAATTGAAAACTTGTTTAAATACTCACGTTATCCTTTTTTTCTTTGAATTACGCCTGCTTTTGCGATTTTTTATGTATTTCCTGGGAGCTCAAATTCAGAACTCCCGCCAACAACAACTCGATCCGGTTGCCAATGCTGACGTCAGAGGCAACCAAATAGCCTAAAGAGTTCCGTGCGTATTCTACGTTGTTATGCTTGTGAAAGGGATAATATACTTAAAACATGGCAAATGGTATTATAGGTTTATGATGCGACAAGTGGTACAATGCTTTTTGTTTTGCATCAGATACACATTTTAATGGATTCGCCACATCCGATTTCGTCGGATAAATAACAGCTTATGCAGGAGTAAAAAGGCATTAGTGTCAAAGGTCAGAAGGGGAGATAATTCTAAAGACCCGATTGTCATTATGCAACTTTTGTTACAAGTATTGTTATGATGTACGTCAATTGCGAATCTTTTAATAACAATAATATTATTCAACATTTGATATAGCGCCTTATATAGCTAGAATAAGCCACTATAAAGCGCTCTACAGTACATAGATATACAATTTCCTATATTCAATAGTACACTGATATTACAATTCAAAGATGGTCAAATACTGAAGTGATTTTGATTATCAACCTGATACCAAAGAGAGACTGAGTTAGTCTAGCCTAAAAAAAACTTTGTCCTTATGCCTAAGGTTGATTCTTTGATATTTCTGATAAATTTCTTTCCAATAAATTTGATGTTTGTGCCATATTTTTGGTAAAATGTCTATTATTTCGGGCTATACTTGAAGTATAATTTAATCACTGTTGTTATTGATTGTCAAATTTCTCCACTGAAAAAAAATCGAAGAATGGCACTGATCAGCCTGGTCTACAAATCCACAAGGAAAGCTAAAACAGGATACAACCCGCTAACAAAAACGATGCTAGGGTTTTCAACAGTTGCTGTAATTTAATACAAAAACATTTTTTAAGCAAATATTATTTCTAAATATCGAAGTTTACAAACGTTAGAAAAATATATAGAATGTTAGATGCTCGGCCAACAAAGAAACCGCAATCTAATTAAAAGTATATCTTCTCATTGCTCCTGTTTACTGACGTGAAATAACAGTAAACGGGAGCAATGTGAAGATATGATTTTAATTAGATTGAAGAAAACGTGACTTTTATAGATCAAAAATTATCCACTGACATGCAAATGAAAAGTATCGGAAAAGACTCCACAATTTCTGCTACAGCCGGCTGAAAACATGAACGAAGATTTAATCTCTATGTCATATTACTGAGATATATTTAGATTTTTTTTTTATAAAGAATAAAGAATTTGACATGCAGGGGTAATAAATAAACTAAAATATATACCTGCTGTAGAAATCTTCTAACATGATAATGCACTCACGAATATTGTTAAAAACAATGGGTCCCACAGTCGTGTTAAATTTAATAATTTTCCAGAAATTCCAGGAGTCCCATCAAAATTCTATGAGTATAGGACTCTGGACTTGTATGAAGCGATAACGTCCCACCCACTGCCACACACATTCCGCTTTCCCCTTACATTCCATAGTACATATTTCCGGTTTAGGTCCACATATACCCGTTTTTACGTGTATCTTTCACATATATTTGTCCCCTCCTTTTGTTGAATTTTAAGGACAAGTTTGCCTAATACTAAAGTTTATCACATTTATTATTTGAAAGCAAAGAGGTTGCAGTGGAATGTCATTAGATTGCTGTAACATATGATATGCACGAACAGAAAGACAAAAAAATAATGATTTGAAAAACAAACCTCTGTGTTTTGTTTAAGAAATCACTCTCCGATAATCAGTACACTCTCATGACTTGGATCTATTTTGGGGGAAATGCATTCAATGTACAGAGAAAATATACATTATATTTACAATTGATAGCTGTACATAAGTCCTATTTATATATATAAATATATATATGGGGCAAAGAAGAAATTCCAACAGTGTGGACAAGTTTAGGTTGTCAAATTTTCGGAGCGATCCGCTCCTTTTTCAAGACACAGTGAAACAGAACAGTTACATGTACATATACATCATATTACAAGAAGATAGAACTGATATACTATAATTGAAAATATAGCTATTATATAAAACCAATAGTCCCCTCGGCTAAAGGCAGCCGAAGGTAGCAACTAAGCTGAGAGCATCGCGGACAAGGAACGCTGATGTAGAGGACCTATTCTCTAATAGGAGAATGCAGTCGTCACTTTCAACTTGTGAAACACGATATTGTAAAAGTGTACTGTAAGTGATGTAGCCATCTTTAAATGTGTTGGCCATACATTTTGAATATTAAAACGAGCAGTTTCCTTGGCAGTGACGTAATCGACATCACCAAGTAAACACTGACATGTAAAAGCATGAAAACTTGACGCAAATATCATCAAAATGCACCAAGACGGTTTAAAGTTTTCAAAAAGTAAGTGTCCGCCGAGGAGGACCCCACCCACCCACAGACCCACACTTTTTTTTATTGGGTAGAGAGCACATGCACCCTCATGCAAAAAACTATTTCCCCTTGACTCGTCACGTGCTGCACGCGACTCGTCCATGTTACCTAGACCTAGCACGTATTTGGACTTCCTTGTAACATGCAGCTAGAGTTTCAGCTTGCCTTATTCGCCTGGAAATCTGATAGCTCAAATGAGCAGGTAAATTTACCTATCAGTCAAAATGTGTTCATGCAGGCATGTTAAAAAAGAACAGGAAGAGGCTGAAAAAGAGGCAAAAGGGTCCAAGTTTGGCAACTTCGTCAGAGTATAGGAGAACAGTCGAAAGGAACGGAGGAAGGGATAGGCATTCTGGCAATAGCAGGGGACTTGTTTATGAGTAAGGTGTTTATAATCACCAACCAAGGACCTGGCATAGTGCTGTGGTCACCCTCTAACACACAGGCCGTCATAGTTGAGCTAGCAGTGCCTTGGTAAGAAAGTATGGTGGAAGCATATAAGAGAAAGAAGACAACATTCCACGAAATGTTTGACGACTGATAGCAATAGGGATGACGAGATTGGCGCTGCCTGTTGAAGTAGGTTGTAGGAACTTGCAGGACAATCCGTGCGAAGGGCTATGAGCATTCTCAGTTCCAGGGGTGACGTTCACTTGTAAACGATCCCTACCACTGGAATATGTCTTGACAAATCGAATGCACACGGTAAGCTATTTGATTAGTTTCTGGTTTTAAAAATTGACCGATCGCCTGGCTGATATGTCACCCTTTGAAAATTATAAGAGGATTGACACCCGACTTTAAAGCCAGTAAATTTTACCGTTACGCTGCCGTGGGATTATTCTGATGCTCGTATCATCCACAAAGGCATCTTCGCTAGCCAAGTGTTCACTTCGTATACACCCCACTTACCCTTGGCTCGGTACACACAGCTATATCCGCCAAGAGTAAGTGGAGTGTATACGAAGCGAATACTTGGCTAACGAAGATGCCGGAAAGGGTGCATGCAAAGTCTTTGATTTCGTCACGACATAACGCAAAAGAGCGAAACCCCAGAACTTTCGAGGATTGGCCGTGGGAGTAATATGCGTATTGGTAGAAGTACATACAGAACATGTATACAGCAACTGTTTGGTATATTATGCCACAAGGCGGAGGCACCTCAATAGAATCACAATGGCTGTGGAAGAGGCGAACAGAACAGTGGCCATCACAGAAACTGTAGTAAAGTCACTCCGTGTCGGGAAGTGTAAACAGGATTGGTGAGAGGCTGTGGTGTTAACGCCATCCTCTTGATTCTAGGGATTACCTCACATACGTCCTCTGCACCCCTGGGATATATCACATCGAAAATATAGGTACGAGGCTGGCTATTTGATTGGTTTCCGCTACAAAAACTGACCAATCTCTGGGCTGATACTTGTCCTTTGAATAATACAGAGAAGCGACATCCGACTGTAAAACTGGTCAATTTTACCGTTATGCTGCAACGCGATTCTTTTGTTATACATCAAAGATCAGACTAGTTCTCGTGTAACATCAGCACGAGATGGTACATACCGAGCCACCAATTTTGTTATGACACATTCCACGGGTGTAGAGAACTGAAGTGTGGCGCACGTCTATTGACCAATTTTGTTATGACACATTCCACGGGTGTAGAGAACTGAAGTGTGGCGCACGTCTATTGACCAATTTTGTTATGACACATTCCACGGGTGTAGAGAACTGAAGTGTGGCGCACGTCTATTGACCAATTTTGTTATGACACATTCCACGGGTGTAGAGAACTGAAGTGTGGCGCACGTCTATTGACCAATTTTGTTATGACACATTCCACGGGTGTAGAGAACTGAAGTGTGGCGCACGTCTATTGACCAATTTTGTTATGACACATTCCACGGGTGTAGAGAACTGAAGTGTGGCGCACGTCTATTGACCAATTTTGTTATGACACATTCCACGGGTGTAGAGAACTGAAGTGTGGCGCACGTCTATTGACCAATTTTGTTATGACACATTCCACGGGTGTAGAGAACTGAAGTGTGGCGCACGTCTATTGACCAATTTTGCTATCCAAAAATAGTGTCGTTACATCGTCGACTTGGCAGGATATCTTGTGTAATATACGGAACTCTAACGCGCCATGCCATTTTTATCTAAACTTATAATCAATACTCATGATTAAGGTTCAAAGCCCGTTTACTGTGACATTGTATATGACGAACGTCCAGGCTTCGTGTGAAGCCAGAGGGTCTAAATGACATGTTTCTGATAGCTAGAACTGTTATCAGTAAGCAAAGCATATTTCATCAAAATTATAACATAATTAGAAGACTTTGAATTTAATGAGATCGCCATCTCTTATTAAGGAATGCTAATGTTAGCTATGTTCGCTGGTAAAGGTGGTTATCTTATTTATTTATGATTACTTATAAGATAATTCATTGCTATATAAGAACCTTTGTTCATTCTGAACAGGGCATCCTACAGTAAATAAAACAGAGTTAATTGAAAATCAAATTGTATACAGTAATCTTGAAAGTCGTCGAAATGCTTGTTTTGTTTACGGTGACACTTCAAATGCATATGGCAATCCGAATTGTGTGATACCGGCTGTCAGTTGAACCCATTCCAGGTAAACAAATTTAACAAATAAAGTTTATTGGTTTTGTAAAAAAAAAAAAAATCAAAAAATCTTGAAAACCAGATTTCTAGACTTAAACAATCGTCATCAAAAGGTTATAAATCACAATGCTACCGTTATACAAAATAACTAACGCTGGTGTAGTGCATGTCGTCTGAGGTTCTGACCTTGAACTAACGGCGGTTTTATATACAAAATAAACGACAGACTTTCGGGTATTTCCCAGCTTACGATACTCTCGGCTTTCTGCAATTGAAGTGAAAAGTACCGCCAATAAAGATCAAGAAAATATCAAACACTAAAGCACTTTCAAATATTGATTTAGTTCTTTTTAATGTTAAAATGTTAAATTTCATAAATCCGAAACATATAGGCATTTTCTCGGCGCGAGATGTGAATGTACACATCATATCAGAAATGTGTGAAAAGTATAATCAATCAAATAGGAAACTTGATTACAGCAGATCAAATACCATAACCCTAAAACTCTGTCCAAAACGGTGATCTCGATGAAGATATTTTTAACGCTAATTTGATAAACTTACCAGAAAGTATATATGCATACTTCATTGAAAACGCTAATCATTTACCCTTTACATACATTGCGTGTTTAGAAAACCCTCACAAATATTTGCCTTTAAGCTTTGAAAAAAAAACTTTTTTTGAAGTGAAAGTCACTCCTTTCAGGAAATATTTAAAATATAAATACGTGTAAACAGTCTACATCAGCATCTGCCGGTTTCATAATTTGGTCACATTTCTAAAAAATATCCTTCAATCTCATGTCTCTTACTATCCTTTCTCTGCATACTATGATACATTATCTTGTTTGGTCTCAAATTTTAGTCTGACCTTGTCAGGTCGGGTTTCTTTGGTCTGATCCCAAAGCTAGTCTACATCAGCATCTGCCGGTTTCAAAATTAGGTCTCATTTCTCAATAATATCCTTCAATATCATGTCTCTTCCCATCCTTTCTATGCACAATATAAAATATAAACTGGTTTGGTCTCAAATTTGGACTGGCCTGGTCAGGTCAGTTATCTTTGGTCTGTCTCTCAAATTGTCTTGTCTTTTTGGTCTGGTCTCAACAATTAAAAAGTGAACACATTTTGGTCTCTGATCCTTGGGCCAGACCAGACCAGACCAACCATTGAGACAAAACTAATGGGACCAGAACAGACCTGACCAAAATTTGGAACCGAACCAAATAGACCAGGCAAGAAAAACCAAACCAGACAAGACCATTTTTATCGTTTGCCTTCTTTCTCCTTTTCCACCTGCAACTTCCTTTCTTCTCACTAAAAATGACCAATTATTTAATATTATTGACAATTTGCATGTGTTAAATTATCTCTGACGTATCGATACAACTCGGCACAAATATGCGTATGCTTTAAATTTTAATTTAAAGAATTAAATGTAAACAAACATTGTTGAAAATTACTTTTATTGCAAGTGCAAAACCTGCAAATATTGATATATATACTTATTACAAAAACAAAACAATTATAAAATATGTAATTTTCCAAAACAAATTCTCCACTCATTGCTTGGTTCCCTTTAACGATATGTCATTAACGCAATAGTTCTTCAAGCCTTATATATTATGCCGGTATCATCACAGTTGGAACAAATCATTACACAATGGTTATGTTTATAAATATAAACAAAATCACCTGTTAGTTTCCACGTAAGAGATTGTAAATACACATACGTGTATTATCGTGGAATAGATAACGTGTTTGGAAAACACTGAGAAACGTTCCAAACTATTTTTGTAATATTTTCCAATCGCAAGCTATATTTTTTGTCATAAAGTTCAAACAAATGTTGAATCAATCTATCCTTCCATGTTAACAAATTATAGAACATGCTTTTGTGTCTTCTTTAACTCATTCATCTCTGAAGACACATTTGAACTCTTCCCAATTCAAAGGTTGGAACAGTTCATTATAAAACTTCAGGGGTTAATGAGTTAATGCTTAAAAGGCACCGTGATTTAGCTGTTGATCATTTAGTGCAGTAAAATAGTTACTGTGTGTGGCTCTCTGATTGTTAGTACCGTTGGCGAGTCCTAAATGGATGAAATGACCATTTAGTGCAGTAAAATAGTTACTTTGTGTGGCTTTCTGCATCTACAAACAGTTATCTTAAATCGGTATTTATTATGCGTATCAAAAGTGGTTGACTTTAGGGTAGACTGTCAGTCCCCGAACCTTGCCTTGTAGATAGAACTTATTCCGGTACGGTTAAAATGAAATACTAGTTTAAGAATAAATTATCTATTGTATTATCTAAGAGCATCACACCGGCATGGTTTATAGGAGCAATAATAACATGTTTGACATATAAATTACCCAATAACACCATGAACATGATGATCAAATAATCGAAAGTGTCTTAACATCGAAAACGTGGTAGAATAATGATGATAATTAACAAATCACTATAGAGTTTCTACTAATGTAAATATAACCACTACAGAGTTTCATACAGTTTATGAAAACACTACTGGTAATCTACGAATTTATTTCTAATTCCTACAGTTATATGTTATTGATCAAAAATAACAATAGATAATCTACTAATAAAAACAATCACTGCAAAACATCTATTATTAAATGATAAATTACTACAGATATTCTACTCCAATTAATGAAAAATCACTACGGATTAACCACTAACTAAAAAAAATGGAATTGATTATCTAATAATTTATGAAAGTCACCTCAGATAACATATTTATCAATAAATCACTACAGATAACTTACTAATTAAAAAATCACTTCAGGTAATCTAAGGATAAATAAAAATGAAAATATATTATCTACTACATAGTAAATAACAAACTATTGCAGATTATCTAATAACTATTAAATCATTACAGATTAGCTAATAATTAATAATAAAAAACAACAACACTTTAACTACTTGTGAAAACAAAACTACAGATTATCTACCTTTAAATTACAAATCACTTCTGACTATCTTATCAAAACCAAATCACTATAGGCAGCTAACGCCGTCTTTGCTTATAAAACAAATTGTCGAAGATAAATAGATTATCTATTGATTTACAAACACATTCACCACAGGTAATCTATTAATTGATAAAAATAAATCACTACAGATGATCTACTTATTTACAAATAAAATAACCAAAAAAGGTGTTTTGGAAATATCAGGTATCTGACACACTTACAAGATTTTCATTCGGCAGATTCGTGCTGAAAGTCAGAATTATACAATCATAATACCATGATGCCATACGTGATACCTGCATATATTCAATAGCACAACAATGTTTACAGGTACGTGTGTACGTTTTTAAACTTTTTATTACATATAACACTGGAAAAAAATCGCCAAAAATGCAGAAAACATTATATGTGAACATTTTTTTTTTATAAAAGTTATAATAATTTAAAAAAAACAATAGAAAATAAACTCTGATAAAAAATAAGCTTTGACAATAAAAAAAAAATCATACTTACTCTTTAATAAACTTTAACTATGAAAGCTAATACAGTGTAATAAATATCGAGTTACTGTAAATCGTTAAACAAATCATTGACATGAGACAGCGATTGCATAACGTTGGAGACAGGATTCACCTCAATATTGTCAAAGTTCTTACAATAATTACAACTATTAACTATATAAGGGCTGAGACATAGCCAAACACTTTAAATATAGCACTTCCGTTGACAACATATTACTTCTGTTGATAACATAGCACTTCTGATGATAACATAGTACTTATGTTGATAACATAGTACAACTGTTGATAACATAGCACTACTGTTGATAGCATAGCACTTCTGTTGATAAACTAGTACTACTGTTGATAACATAGTACTACTGTTGATAACAAAGCACTACTGTTGATAGCATAGCACTTCTGTTGATAAACTAATAATGCTGTTGATAACATAGTACTTATGTTGATAACATAGTACTTCTGTTAATAACATAGTACTACTGTTGAGATCATAGCACTTCTGTTTATAACATAGTACTACTGCTGATATCATAGCACTACTGTTAATAGCATAGCACTTCTGTCGATAAACTAATAATGCTGTTGATAACATAGCACTACTGTTGAGAGCATAGCACTTCTGTTGATAAACTAGTATTACTGTTGATATTATAGTACTCCTGTTGATAACATAGTACTACTGTTGATATCATAGCACTTCTGTTGATAACATAGTACTACTGTTGATAACATAGTACTTATGTTGATAACATAGTACTTCTGTTGATAACATAGCACTACTGTTGATAGCATAGCACTTCTGTTGATAACATAGTACTTCTGTTGATAACATAGTACTTCTGTTAATAACATAGTACTACTGTTGATAACATAGCACTACTGTTGATAACATAGCACTACTGTTGATAGCATAGTACTTATATTGATAACATAGTACTTATGTTGATAACATAGTACTATTGTTGATAACATAGAACTACTGTTGATAACATTGCACTACTGTTGATAACAGTTCTTATGTTGATAACATAGTAGTTCCGTTGATAACATAGTACTTATGCTGATAACATAGTACTACTGTTGATAACATAGCACTTTTGTTGATAACATAGTACTATTGTTGATAACAAGGTACTATTGTTGATAACATAGCACTTCTGTTGATAAAATATTACTTGGATATTTATTACCAAGATACTCTGTCATATAGAGTAACGACAGAGGCGTGTGTCCATACAATTGGATGACATGATTGCCGGTCCGCATACAAAACGAAATCCTGGGTGAGACCTCTCCGATTCTTGAAGATAACCGTAATTTCAGTCTTCACTGTCACTAAAAAAGTAAATAGAAAATACAGTTGAATACATCATCTGCTCAAAATATACAAGGACAATCCGGGGAATTTTATCTATTTATTGGAATAAAAGTATAAACGCTTAAATTTAATAGTATAAAACTGTTCTGTCTGAACCTAGTGTTGATAGTGTTTCTGGAAAGTAAACGTATCCATACCTGACAATGTCGACAATCTTGTTCAGATTGGCCAGCTTCGTCCGTAGGACATCTGCTGTGTTGTCAGCACTACTGCGAACCCATCCTACTAGCCACCGGGCGACTGTGTTATCAAACGTGTCGGACGACTCGTAGTAACCCTTAGAGCTAGACGTGAACAGCATCTCCAACTCGACAGGGATCTTTCCTTTAAAAAAATAATTAATCGACAATTTTAAAGATTTTTTTTAAAGAAATATGCAATTTTGTATTTTTAGAATAGGATTCAGCCATTCCTAAATTTAAAATGAAAACTGAATTTGAAACTGGAGTAAAAATAATTGAATGCCTTGTCTCTCATATTTGTGTACGCTCGTGAAGTTATTTTGAAAAAGTCTTGGTAAGTGAATACTTTTTTCTTAATGTTCACGTTAAATCCAAACCGAGAGATAGGCGAACAAGTATTAGACCTGCATGAGGTATTGTCACCTTTTTTAAAAGTAAGGTTTTCAATTATTCAATTTATGGTTTCTGTTCATAAATGCTACATCTCACACAAATTTACAAGTTCTAGCATTGACTAACCATATTTGCTTGTCAGCATCTTGTGTAGTTTTCTGGCGGGAATTGGAAGTGTAGAGCCCGTTACATCAGGTGTCGGGATCACACAGTCTCTTATGGCATTGATCCCTGCTTTGATCTTCCTATCGTCTTCCTCATCCATTGTCTCATTGATTTTATCATCTTGGGCCCTTTGGAATATTGTCCTCACGTCGCTAAATTGATTAGCAATATCCAAGTTGTGCTGCATCAACTGATCGGCGGCCTTTTTGAAATCTCGTGTCAGTGTTGCAGTTAAATCACTGAAATGAGCTTCCATCACGTTCATTTTGTTTTCCACACTGCCAAGTGTTTCCTGTTCAGTATGATAAAAAATATGAACCTTACGGTCACAACACAATCATATATTAATATCTTCAGCACATATATTGACATGCTATACATGTAATTTTCGAGTGTTAAACGCTTTAACTGAACAATCACTTGCACGTACAGTTACTAACATTTTAAAACACAATGGTCCGTTTGATTTTGATTTGTCGTTAAAAGTCATTTGTAATACCGGTATATCTCTGAAAATTTCATTCTTTTGAGAGAGCAATGTATTGATATTCACATTATGTTAACTAATTCTATATTATGTTAATTAATTCTACACAAGATATATAAATCTGTATAAACATTACAAATTGTCAACATAAAATGCAAAATATATACATTGAATTCAACTGCATAAGAAAATGTTTAATTCACAAATTGTGCGTCCAGGTCATCATTACTATGTTTAAAAGTGTCTATTACAGTCGTTAAGATATAATTGAGTCACATGGGTAACATGGCTAAGTATAATTCGGTTTTAAAAACGTAATGAATCATCGCCCATTTGGTGCAGTAATTCTTGCTGCATTGTATCCATACACAATAGATATGTACCAATTTGTACGGGTTTTTTTATCTGATAGATCTACACAATATTTTTTCTTCTAAAGCTCCAGGAGTGTCCCGTAAAACAAAGCCAGATCGTTGTGTTTTGTGTTGGCCAGACTTATGATACTGGTATAAACGCTCAACACCCACACACCTACTCAAGTCAATGGGGTCAGACACATAATGATTTCGTCTGCTATAACAAATCTTACAAATCTAAAGGACCGTGGAAGATTAGCCTTTGTCTTAATGTTATACATATTTTACACCATATTCAATGCCCTAGTAAAATTAAAAAATCTCGATTATTCTTTTAAATATGAACTTCCTTTTTCGTATTTTACAGATAATGTAAGATAATCGGTAATGCGTATGTGCACATGATAAGCTATAACCTGTATAGTGAATAACTTGGTATCAAATGTAAATGTTTTGTCAATTAACCCGTTTTATGTTTAATATTCCTGTATCTCGTCAGCTTTATATATACACATTTTGTTTAGTGTTCTAAATATGGGATCTTTTCTAATACACGTATTGCCTTTGGTGACACTATCAACATGTGATTTGTATTTATAGCTCCAGCGAAATTCGTATAAAAATAGATTTGAAAATTTTCATTGTCATCTAAACCATCATTGCAATATTATACATTATTTCAACGAGATTTTTTTTTGTTATTAAATACAATGTCTTTGCTTTATGTACAAATAAAATCATATCAGAAACAATACCATTTTCAACACTTGATCCTAACTAATTAAATATTCCGAGACTTACCTCCAACCGTCGAACTGTGAGCTCTAGCATTTTCTTGTCATCTGCAGCAATATTTAAGGTTTTAATCACGGTGTCCGTGTATATGTCTAATTTCTTAGTATCTATCGTTTCCTCGACCTTAATGACTCCGTCGTCCCCGAACATAACATTTTTACAATTTTGTAATATTACAGTTTTCTCCATCTGTTCCACCATGGTCTTGATAACATCCATCAGTTCCTTATTCTGCTTCTGCAGTTCCTCATTTTCCAACGTTATCAGCCTCAGCTTATGTTCCCGTTCGTCGATCATTGAGGAATCATCCTGCTGACCTTTCGTACAGCTGAAAAGGCTACCTCCAGAATTGCTCTTCTTTTTCTTCAGACCCGACTTGTTTCTAATTTCACTTCGTTTTTCGGAGGCCATTGTATTTGTTTATGTTGTCTCCCTGAAATTAGATTATCATTTTCATACCATCAAAATGCAATTTAATTAAAATGCAATGCAAATTGTAAGGAATGTAAATCGTTAGAATCCATCTATTAATTATTACGACATTATCAATTAAATTAATTATTAATGACTCAATTTTTATCTATGAATTCAGATGCGTTCATGTCTCAATTTAGCACTCCAATCAACGCTTATGTGATTGCACCTATACAATTTGGTAATAGATACAGTATCGGTAAAAATGAATTGCACTGCGTCACACAGATGCTTCCTCCTTCTAGGACACATCAATGAAGCTAGGGGTCAAAACAGTGTATTGTCATTGGATTGATACATTAAAATCTTCATTTTTAATCAGATCGTTGATGTTTTTGTTCAAAAATGATACTAAGCATTCTCTTTTTGTCTTGAAATGACAGCTAACCCAAACGCGTTTAACCCTCTGTAACAATAACGAAATTCAGTCTAAAACGCGTATTTTAAAACTCAAAAATGGAATTCAGATGATTTCAAAGAGCGATAATTTGGTTTATGAAAATGAAATATGTATTTCATATGAATTGATTAAAGCCATAAAAAGAGCAAACTTTTTTTCTTTCTTAGTCACAAAAAGTTCATATTCAAAAAGGTTATACCAGTATGTATTTTAAACTATAACTTGGTTAACCAAAACAGACCTTTGAGAAAAAAAACCTATGCAAATTAGATCATTATACCAAACGAACTATTAAATTAAAACTACAATATTAACTACATTTTTATCCGACAATAATACGTCTATTTTAATATATGTCTCGTATGTTGTCACTGCTATGTATTTGTCTTAAAATTGATAATTTAAAGATAATATAAATTCCAAACCCTACTAACGGTATACACACCTACATGGTCGAAATACATTCGAAGGTCTGACTTACAAACAAAAATCAGTTAACTAGGGCACAATATATCATCAATGATCAAACAAATAGTTAACTTTCAGAATACATAAAAAGCAACAACAAACTTAGTGATTTTGCACCTACCAGTTGCAACAGTAAGACGCTCCGAAATAGGCTCACTCTCTTATCAAACCGCCATTTTTACCTGTACTATTTTTTATTTGGCCACGTTCGTTTTGGCTTATTGCCAGTTTATTGTACATAGAATTGATCTGAGAACGAAAAGGCGAAGTATGTTATATTTACACATGCCATGACACTCGTTTGGAAATTTCAGTTTGAATTAAATGAGTCCGTCTGGTGATTCTTTTTAATTTAAACAATTATTTGTTAATCAGATATTTTAAAACTACTCGATTTGTTACTGTCATAAATAATGTTAATGTTTATATTGTAATAAATCTTGGTCTATAATACTTGGAATATATCGGTCAGATATGTACACTAGATCATAGCAGGACAAATATATACCCCCTAGTCGGATTGTTGGTTTATTAGACACTAGTAGAGCTTGGAGTTAAGTGATTCATGCTTGTGAAAAAGAGACCCAAGTGCCTTACAGTCACCTGAAGTAAACCAAACGAATTTGGATGATATACGTGTCTACTGTTTATTAATATAGGATATCCACGAACGTTTGTACCACGAAACGGTCTAAATGGCTTCAAATCACAAAGGAAAGTACCCACCGACATTTCGTGTTATACAGTATACAGAGATATATTTCAGTAATAAGTTTTGTACAAAAAGAGTCCTATGGGTATATTTGCAGACGAAAATAGCGCATAAGTACTGATTTAAAACTGGTTTGATGTCAATTTTCATCAGTCATTCACCAAATGTAGAACGACTTCAATGTTGATGAAAATGTAGGAAAAGTAGTTTTTTTAAAGATTTATTAATACGCATTCTGAACCCACTGATGCTCCACCATTAGTAATTGTTTAACTCATCCATATTGAGCACATAACCCGATTGAACCAATGAAAGGAGACATTTTTATACACCGATTCCTGTCTCAGTTGTTCTGCTTTGCGAAGGAATTGTGAAGGCATGCGTTAAAAAAGGCTAACTAGTTTCAGTGGTTCTGCTCAGTGTAAGTATGTGTTCTGTCAGCTGTTTTCCATACATATATACCAATCAGTTCTGAAATTGAGCATGCACCACTAAAGACGAAGGGAAACATACGAATGAAAATTAGAAAGATTCCTCAAGCACTATTGGAGAAAAAGCTAAAATAGAAACTGTTTAAGGGGACAAAAGACCACAAAATCGACAAAATTTCAACTTTTCCATGCATGGGTAGATGATATATTATATCATTATACAATATTTATGCCTGATTCAAAGCAATAGTCACTATGGCAAGTTTGTTAACGATGTGAATATTAATGTTATCATGAACATTTTTTGTGAAAATGTACTGGCAAGTCGTATATGGGGTACGAAAACACCACAAAGATTACAAATTACTCCCCTTGTATCATGCCATTATACAATATTTATACAAACAGCATAATAATATTGCAACTTTTTGTAATTTTAATAAAACAGGTCAGAAATCAATGCTGAATGATACAGTGTCTGATATATACAGCACCCTAAAAAGTACTGACCATCACACCGTTTCATTTCATGTTACAGTAGTACTAAAAAGTATCAACTGCATGTACCAAGCATAGCGTAGCAAAGGCACCAGCATACGGTGGAATAGGCAATGGGGGTATTTCTCAAGTTTGTTTTGTGTGTGAAAGATAGGCGATTGGTGTCTGTGTTCTTTTTTATGTCACAGTTCTTCCGACCATACTACACATTTAACACACTTTCAGGCACATGTCACTGGTGAGAAACTAAAATGCGTTTCTTGGGAATTAAGTATATTTGGCAGTACATATCAAAAACTCTTTTGTAGAGAAAAAAACCCAATTTTGATATGTACATTAAATCTCATACAGAATAAGCATCACCGCAAACATTTAGAAACCAGAGCATACTATCATCACACAATTATGCAAATTGGTTAAACCTACAAATGTGTTACTTGCAGACAAATATAGGTTTAAAGGAACTTGACAAACCCAACAAACCTCTGTACATTACTTTGACCGACGAAAAAAGTTAATAATGTAAATTTTCGTTCAGTTCTTTTTGTGATGGAAGTGGTGGTAAATTTTGTGTTGTAGATAGGGAGTTTGCAGTTTCAAACTTTGTAAAAGGCTCTGGCTCTTTGGAACAATCTGGAAAACCCAAGAGAAGTGTACGTGACAATATATGATAGACGCCGGTCACTTTACCGTAATGAACATGGTGGTCAAAGGGCTCTAGATAGGACAAGGCATCCATAGATAAATGCGGCAAGAACATATCTACTTGTTCGCATGGATATAACTCTATTTTTGTATGACATGTTCATCCGGAGATATATATCCTGTGGATATGCCCGACACAATTAAATATTGATATATTTATTCCTTAACTCGCGGATCACAAGACTATATAGGTAATGCACACGAACCAACAATAGTGCATACGTACAGTGTTAAACCTATTTCTATTATAATTTCTATCATTCTTTGAAATACAGAATGACTGAATGCGTTGTTCATAGGCATTCTCATCCTCGATATCCAGGGCTTACGCTCACTTTCGCTCTCTACACCCCTGAAATATGTCATAGCGAAAGTGAAGGCTCGGTGTGCGCCACCTTGTTGATGAGACAAGAATACTAGTTCAATCCTTTGATGTACATCAAAAGAATCTCGCGGTCACGTCACGGTAAAAATTGTCAGGTTTTGAAGTCGGGCGTCTCTCCTTTGTCATCTTCGAAGGACATGTATCAGCCTAGCGATTGGTCATGTTTTTTTGCAAAGGACCAATCAAACAGCTATCTTCGTGCCTTCAATTTTGCTATGACATATTCCAGGGGTGCAGAGAGCGAAAGTGAGCGTAACCCTGGATATCGAGGATGAGGCATTCTGAAACCAGAGAAAACCCCTGATGTTACAACCATTAAAGTGCTTTTTATCTATCCGAATTGAGAACATGAACTGAAGAAACAAGCGATGGAAGACTGTATACATCGCTGTCAGGCTCAATTGTTCTGTTTTGTGGAGCTATGCGTTTGAATCAAATGTGTTTAAATTGTTTTCATTTTTTCACATCTTCTTCCAATCGGTATCAAATTTGAGCATGCACTACTAAAGACGAGAGAGAAACTTCAAATGACATTTGAGACAATTGCTGTTTAAACTTTTTAAGGCGGACGACTGGCAACAAAATAACAAAATGCAACAACAATTTAACTTTTTTTTTATTTTATGCATGTGTAGAGGATGTATTATACCATTATACAATCTTTATACAAACAGCACGATAAGGTTGCAGCTTCTTGCAGTTTTAATAAAAGAGGTCAGGAATCAAGGCTAAAGGATATAGTTCCCGATATAACCAACACACGGAGTAGTATTGACCATCACACTGTGCTATGATACAAAGCCACGCTAAAACAAGTTCATGTTATACCAGTACTGAAAAATGTCAACTACGTACCAAGTGTAGTGTAGCAGAGTAAATGAAAGTGTTTCACCAGCATACGGTGGAATAAGCAATGGATGTATTTCTCCAGTTTGTTAAGTGTATGAAAGATAACCGATTAGTGTTTATGTACTTTGCTATATCGTCAGTTCTTCTGACCATCCTACGCGTAATACATACTATCAGGCACAAGTCACTAGTAGGAAACGAAACTGAGTTTCTAATAAATAAAGTAAATTTTGCAGATAAAATCACAACTTTACCTTGTAGAATAAAAGCATTGGAATATGTTGAATTTATTTTCTTTCCTTTGAATACATGTCACAGCATTTACAATTGATTTGGTGAATTCCTTCGCTCAAACGAAAGTGTAGGATAACAAATTAATTATGAAGAATAGCACCATCGTAAACATTAATAAACCATGGTATCATGTTACCACTGATGTTTTGTTATTACTTAAGAGGGTTAAACTAACAATTTGTTCCCTGTGGACAAATTAAGGGTTTAAGGAGCTTGCCAAAGCCAACTTCCGTTAGTGCAATTGTTCAGAGAATGAAAACTATTGTCAGGTATGTAAATCTTCGTTCAGCTCGTGCAGTAATAGTAGTGAGGTTCATAAAAGACTTCTTTAGATCTTGGGACCTATATGAAAAATGTTCAATACATAGAGGAGGAAAGTTTATATGACTGGGAATAGGTGTTTAGGACTGGCAAGAACATATTTTCCAATGTATTTACTTTTTGTCTCTTGTGTACATTTGCTACACACGTTTCCTTCATAGAAAAGATAATCGGAGAAAAAATACAAGAAAACTAAAAGAGTACATAGGTAGTGTGTTGATACTATTAATGCTCTTTGTTCGCATGGATGTGACTAACGCTATTATTGTAATGACATGTTCATGCGAGAATATATACCATGTGAATATGCCCGACACATTAAAATCTTCATTGAAGTCTACAGTTTCAATTCCTTGTGTTCATCAGTCTGTATTAAGGTGAGACACAAGGAAATTATGAAAAAACTTTGGTTAAGAACTGTTTTAGTCTTAATTATAATAATTTATTCATCAACTGCAGAACTACTGAAGGGATGGTGAAAATGTTCGGAAAGTAATATATGTGTAAAGAACGGTGATGTAATTCAGCAATCTGACGAGATATATAAACCATTTGATACATACACCATCAACTTTGGTAAATAATGAAGGAGTTCGGTAAATTAATATGTTAAGAGAAACGTATATGTTTCAATGGGTTTTTTCGTTACAGGTACGTTTATATTGAGTGACTAGTTTCAATGGCTTTGTTCAGTGTTGGTATGTGTATAGACTGTCTGCTGTTTAACTGTTTTTGTTTAGTGTTGGTTTGCGTTTGTATAGAATAGCTATAACCTCAATGGTTCTGTGCATTGTAGATACGTATATAGACTGTCTACTGTGTTACTGGTTTGTTATTGAAAGTATGCGTATAAACTGTCAACTGTTTTACTGCTTTTTCTCAGTGTAGTTATGCGTTCATATAGAATAGCTACAACCTCAATATATAGTTTTGCTTGTATAAACTAATTAGCTGCTGTCTAAATAGTGTTGTACAGTGTATGTATGTTTTGGT